AAAAATACGTTCTTTTTTCTTTATTTTTTTAAAACTATTTTTTAAATTAATTAAATTTCTAAAAAATTTAAACAAAAATGTGATTGCGTTGTGTCCTGAGGAGAGATACAAAATATAAAATAAAAATATTGTTTTTACCTTATAATACCGAATAACCCTGGAATCAAGACTATCCTGTAGTCACGGTCAACAACTGTCAAAAAAGACGAGATTACAAAAAATCAAAAAAACAGAAATGTAAATGACAAACTAGGGAACCAAATAAAAAGACCTAGGCAATGATCTAAATATAGAAATAATTTATTCAAATCACTAAAATCACAAATATAATAAAATCTTTTTCTTTATTAGTAATTCAACAAAAAAAAATACAATTAATTTCAAAAAAAATATTAATATTCATTTTCATAAAAAATTAAGGATGTTAAAAAAAATCACTTTTTTTCAAAAACGATAAAAAAATATATCATTTAAAATGATTGACATTTTAACTATATTAAAAAACAGTATCATTTATGACATTATTATTTTTGGTGTTTATTTTTTTTGTCGTGAAATTATTTTATATTTTTGTTAGCGCGGATTAATATTATAATATACGCGGAATTATTTGTTTTAAGAAAGAGAAGACTCATGGTGAGTCGAGGATTTTTTTTTAATTAAAAAATATAATTTGTAATTTTTTTAAATTATTTAATTTTTGGAATAATTTTTAATTTTTCTGAAATTGTAATTTTAATTTTTATAATTTTGTTAAAAATATAATATTTGTTTAAGAAAAAAATAAATAGACTAAATAAAGTTTCGATGTCAATTTGTTTTAAGAAAAATAAAAGTAAAATAAATTTATTCCGGAAAGGGACAGTTCAATTCGTTAGGAAGATCATTAAGTAACGGCACAACGTAATAGTTGGTACCGTCAAAAAAATAAAAGGTAAGTTTTATTTTTTATATTTATATATAATCTTTTTTTAGGTATAAAAAATAAAAAGGAAAAACATTTGTTAAGGGCACAGTGGATTAACTGTGGTATTGAATTTATATTTTAAAGGCACAGGGATTCTGTGGGATTTTTTTTTTGAGAAAAATCGGTGAGTACGTGGTTATTGTTAAGGTCACAGGGGTTCTGTGAATTTTTTTTTGGGAAAAATTAGGTAGAAGTACCGGGATTATTAATAGGGATAGGAAAAATTGTAATTTGGGTTACAGTGGAGTATAAAAGGCTTTAAAGAGTCTGATGTACTGTTGTGCTATTTCGGTATTAATTTTATTAATTGTATCATATTGTTTAACTCTTCAGATAGTTAAGATTTTTTTAGTTAAGTTAATTATTAACTTTTTGTAGGTAATATTTTGAGATATATTTTATTTTGTTAAAATAGTTAATATAGATAAATTCATTTAGAAGTATTTTTAAGTTAATTTAGATATATTTTGTTTCATTAATTTGATTAAAATTTTTTTCCTTAAGTGAAATGAAGGGTTTTAAATTAACTAAATATGTAGAAGTACAGTATAATATATTAGGAGCGATAGTGGTATTGCTGATTTGGTTAGGTAGTTTATATTTCGGCAGGAGAGAACGCCGGAATAGAAGTATTAGGATACGGGGGCAGACGTTATTGATTGAAGGACATAATGGGGAAGAAGATAGATATGGTAGGGTTACGTGGTTGCCCGTGCAGGAAATGTTACAGGGATGGGCAAGTAATAAAGATTTAAAATGGAGCGGTAATGAAAAAGGAATTGAAGATGGAAGAATAGGAATATATAGAGGTCGAGGAGAATTGACGAGGTCGTTTAGGACGGAAGATCCGAGAAATAGAAATATGGTATGTTATAAATGTGGGTTAAAAGGGCATATAGCCTTAAACTGTAGGGACGACATTAAATGTTTTAAGTGTGGCCAAAGTGGTCACATTTCGATGTATTGTCCGGGTAATAAAGAGAGATTACGATGCGCTGGATGTGGAAGATTTGGACATGCGGAGAGTGATTGCAGAGTGGGAAGAGTGGAAACCAGAAGAGGATTTCCCCAAAGAGGAGAGAGCTCGAATGCTATTAATGTTAGGAGTATGGCCGCGGTTTCAACAAAAGATGAAATGGGGGTCGATTGCAAAATTATATGTTTCAAGTGCCGTGAAGAAGGGCATTGGGCAAGAGATAGCGAGAGGGGGTGACTATATGATGGTGAGGAAAAGAGAATTCAGGCCAAGGAGGGGAGAGCGGAGGGGCGAGAAAGGGTTATGAAAATGTTGAGGGAAGAGGGTAGAGAGGAAAAAGTATATCTTCCGAGTCCGAAAGTGTGGTTTAATATAAACGGGAAAATGATATCCATGTTGTTTGATACGGGAGCAGCTATTTCGTTAATGGGATATGAAGATTTTAGAAGACTATGGCCGAATAGTACAATAATTCGGGAGAGGATTCAAGTGAGGCAGTTTGATGGATCCGAAATGGAGATGATGGGAAAAGTGAAAATAGGCGATGTCGGAGGTGACAGATCCCAAGTATTGGATTTGTGGATAATTAATAGAAGTGTAGAGCCAGTAATGGGATGGGACTGGATTACGAGTGTTGGGCAGGAGTATAACTTTTGGGAAGTATTTGCGCAGTGGGGAGTATTTCTGGCCGTCAAAGAAGGCATCAGGGAGGATATTATAAAGATGGTCGAGGAGGATGAAGAAATTTACCGGAGAGATGGTGAATGGATGGAAGACCGAGACAATATAGAAGTGGATGAGGGGACATCCATGTTTTGGGGAGAAAGTGAAGTGATGACAATGGGGGATCGTGTAGAGGCAATGAAAGAAGGTCAAATGTTGATGAATAGGGAAATGGGAGCAACAGCAACAAAGGAAATAGTTGGACCGCGGATGCGAGGTATAGAAAATGGAGAATTACAAGGGAAGGAGTGGCAAGAACAAGGAAGAGAAGTAAATAGACCAGAGGAGACTGTGGGGGAATTGGAATTTGTGAAAAAAGAAGTAGGGCGGTTGATGAAATTTTTAGTGAATAGTTGGGTTGTTTGAGGGACTATGAAGTGGATATACGGATGAAGGAGGGATGCATACTAAAATCTAAAATATTGTGCTGTGCGTAGAGTACCTTTTGAATGGAGGCAGGAAGTAGAAAAAGAGTTGGATCGGTGGGTAAAGGAGGGCATAGTGAGTCCGGTGGAATACAGCGAATGGGCGACGCTTTTTGTACCCGTAAAGAAGGCCAATGGGAATTTGAGGTTGTGTGCGGAGTTCCAGGTAACGTTGAATCCATGTGTGGTGGAGGTGAAGTATCCGTTACCCAGGATAGAGGAGATATTGGCCAGTTTAAAGGGGAGCAGATATTTTTCATAAGTGGATTTTTCGAACGCGTATTTGCAATTACGGGTGAAAAAGGAGAGGCAGAGGTTATTGACTATAACAACGCCGAAGGGCCCATTTGCTTTTAGAAGGTTGTCATTTGGATTGAGTGTATCGGCGCCTATATTTCAACGGACGATGGCGGCAGTTTTTCAGGGATTAGAGTGAGTTTTTTATTATATGGATGATGTACTAATAACGGGGGTTACGCCAGAGCAGCACAATAGAAGATTGGAAGAAGTATTTAAGAGGATCCGGGAAAAGGGATTACTGGCGAGTAGAGAGAAAAGTGTCTTAGGAGTAATGGAGGTTGTATATTTGGGGCATTGGATTAATGGAGTAGAGGTTAGACCACTAGATAAAAATGTGATTGGAATTGGAAGTATGGTAAGGCCGAAATGCAAGGCAGAGGTACAATCTTTTGTGGGAATGGTAAATTATTACCATCGATTTGTCAAGGATTTTGCAGAAATAGCAGCGCCGTTGTATAAATTGCTGAAGACAGGAGTAAGATTTGAGTGGGGAGATGAGCAGGATGCTGCGTTTGAAGGTTTGAAGAAAAGAATTGGAGAGGAGCCTATTTTGGTCTGTTTCAACAATGGGTTGGAGGTGATTCTAGCGGTGGATGCGTCCAGCAAAGGAGTAGGAGGGGCGTTGTTATATGAAATAGATGGAATAGAGAGGCCGGTATTATTTTTTTCCAGAATATTTCGGAAGCGGAGACGAGATATTCTGTAATAAAACAGGAGGCCTTGGCCGTGATTTTTGGACTGACAAAGTTCCGGGAATATTTGATTGGACGGAGGTTTTTTGTATATACGCATCACGAACCGTTGATACATTTATTCAAGAAGGATAACAAAGAGTTGATGATGTTTCCGCGGTTGCAGAGGTGGTTGTTGTTGGTAGGAAGTTTCGATTTGACGATAAAATATCTAAGAGGACGAGAAAACTACTTGCCAGACCTTATGTCAAGATGTGAGACTGGAGAGGAGGTTGAAGACAAAAGTGGAACAATTGAGGAAAAAAAGGAGATGGCCATGGTGAGGGCGATGTCAAGAATTTTAAAAGGTGGCCCGGTAAATTGGGAAGAAATTCGGACGGCGACGATAAAGGACAGAGATTTATATAGGATAAAGGAATGTATAATGGGTCGAAAATCCTGGAAAGAGGGCGATAGTGTTTATAAAAATGTTGGCAAGGAATTGACAGTGATGGACGATTGTGTAGTGCGGAAGAATAGAGCGGTGGTACCGTATAAACTGAGAGAGGCAGTAATGGGAATGTTACATGTGGGATATCAGGGAGTGTAAAGGATGAAACAATGGGGGCGAGAATATGTATGGTGGCCAGGGGGGAATGAGGAGATTGAGAGGTTGGCAAGGAAGTGTGTAGTATGCAATACTTGGGCTAATATGCCAACAAAGGATAAAGGAAGTAGATGGCCGAGAGCATCAGGACCATGGGAAAGAATCCATGTGGATTTCTTTGAATTTGAAAGGAAGGAATATTTACTCGTGGTAGATGCGTATTTTAAATGGGTGGAGTTTGAGATGGTTTGAGGATTGACCACGAAAATTGTAGTTAGGAAGTTGTAAAATCTATGGGCGAAGTTCAGAGTAGGGAAAGTGATAGTTTCAGATGGCCGGCCGCCGTTTGGCAGCGGAGTTTGAAAGGTTTTGCAGAGAAAATGAGATAAAGCATATTCTAGCTCCTCCTTATCATCCGAGCTCCAATGGACAGGCAAAGCGGATGGTTGGAATAGTGAAGAATTGGTTAAGAAAGGCAAAGTACGGGAAAGGAGAGGTATGGGTATCTGTGGCGTACTATAATAATAGTAGGAAGGGAGAGGAGATGTCGCCGTCAGAGAAATTTTTAGGACGCAGAACGAGGATTGGGTTGGATGCTTTAAAGTCGAGGTCAGATAAGCCAGAAATGGAACGTAAGGAGGATAATACAGTGAAGTTCACGGTGGGACAAACAGTGTGGGCCCGAGTATATGGGGAAAGGAAAAAGTGGCAGTCCGGAATAGGGATGGAAAACGTGGGGAAGAAATTGAGTAAGGTCCAGTTTCAGGATGGAAAAGTGGGCATGCGGCATCAAGACCAATTACGTAGAGGGGTCGACCCGGAGCAGCAATAGAGCTCAGGCCGGATGAACATAAAAAAAAATTTTTTAATGGGGTCAAGGTCACTGATGAGGGTCAAGGGGATGTCTTACGGAGGATGGTAAAGGGGATGTTAAAAAAAAATAATAATAAATTAAATATATATATATGTAATTGGTAGTAAAAAGAGAAAAAAATTTCTTTGGTATAAATGCTAAATTATATAGGTAAATTCAAATGGTATGGGGAAGAAATTGGTAACATTTTTTTTTTCTATATAATAAATAAATTGTGTATTATAATCAAATTGTAAGGAAAAATTGGTAACATTTTCCTCATGATTATTTAATTGTATATGAATATATTCCTCCTTAAATTATATTGTAATCGCTTAGAAAAAATATGTTTCAGAGTACCTCTTGTCCTGAGAGTCTTAGACTACTTAGCGAATTCGATTCTTAATTTTCCGAATTAGTGTACTCTTATAGTCAAAGTTATATATTTTATTTTATTAAATGAATATTATTGTATTTTATTGCAGACTTCATGTTTGTAGAAACATTGTTAAATTAAGAACTAAATAAAACAAAAATTATTTTTTTTAAATAAATAAAGTATATATCCAAACATGTATATTGAAATAATTTGGGGTGTAAATGTAGAATGGAAGGTTAGTAAACCGTTAGGGATTTATAGTTTTTTTTCTTGACCATATATTTTTTTTAAAAAATTAGTAATGGAAAAAATATTTAAAGTATAAGGTAAGTTTAAGGGGTATGTAGGTCATTTTGTAGTTTGGTCAATTTTGGTAAGTGTGTAAAAAAAATAAAATAATAATAAGAGATATAAAATAATTTAATGTTTAATGGGTATATATAAAGGTAATAAGAAATATAAAATGATAGTTGGTTTACCTTTTTTTGGTTGCTGTAAATAATGATAAGAGTATAAAAATGGGATCAGATTGTATTTTATATTTTTTTTAAAAAAAAGGAAAATATAAATTGGATCAGATTTTAAAAAGGGGAAAAATATATATTTTTATTAAAGTTGTTTTCGTTAAAGAAAATTTGTTTTTAAATGTGATTTATATTTAACGAAAGGGAGCAAGAGTAAGGTTAAGGCAGCGTCTACATGAGCGGGAGGGGTAGGAACAGTTTGCATCCTATTTTTTGAGAAGTATGGGGTAAGCTGCTTTAATGGGGGTAGGATAAATTTTTTGGAGGGTTATCTATTAAATTTTGAAGATGAAATAGGACAAAATTTATTGCTCTAAAAATTAATACTTTTATTATAGTATTATTATAATACAATTCATCGACCAAATCTATATATTGCAAACAATCATACACATTGTTTTCCAAATAAACTATCCTTTTAAATGTAATTTAAAAGGTTTAGATATTTCAGCAAGCTCATAATGCCATAATAATAAATTCATTGTAAATAATGAAGGTTTTTATTGAATTTATTATCTAAAAAATAAATTCGTTATATTCATAAAATATCGATAGTTGGTAGTAGAGATAGATTAATTTAAGTTTTCCTTTATAAATTCTTTGAAAAGAGTATCAATAAATAAATAGGTGAAAATAATGATAAAGAGATACCGCCGCCGAAGGCGGCGGGAATTTTTTAGAAGGGTGGGCAAAGGTTTTTGAAGGGGGTTTGCATCCAGTGAAAATCCTGTCATGTAGACCCTGGGTTAAGGGAATGTTAATAATATTAAGAAAGTTTGCATAAAACAAAACGAGAAATTGATTTATTTGTAAAGGATGGGGTTGGTGAAGGGAATAGAAAAAGTTTGTTTTGAAGTAAAATTCATTAAGTTTTGTGTTGAATTAAAAATCAGTTTGGTTTTTGAATTAAGATTATAAATAATATTCGCTAACATATTGGAGTTATTCTTGAGGGATTCAAATAAAATTCCCATAGATAACCGGTAAGTATGGATTATTTTAGATTTTATATTTTAGGGTTAAGAAGTTTGTTATTTTTTTTTCTCCCATAGTTTTCGGAATTGAAGAAATGAAATGTGGGGTTTATTTTTGGGAAAAAATATATATTTGTAGATAAAGCTTATATTGTAAGAAATAATAATTCCGAAAAAATATATATATTAGTGGTGGGTAAGGTTAAGTACGGTATAGGGTAGTAGGGGTAATAAAATTTATATATGAACCTATTATTGTCGTGTCAGTTACATAGACTTAGGGTCGCATATGCTTAGAACGACTTAATTAGCAACGACATGGAGCCATTGGTGAGTGAGTGGAGAATGATGTCCAAAGATCAGGATCAAGGAACTTCTCGGGCTCGGTGTGCAGAACTCCGACTAATGACGCAGACGAGGTGGGAGGTGAACAAAGGACCCTGTTTTCCATGCGGAGTGGAGGGGCATATACGGCGGGACTGCCCTCAAGGAAATTTGCCAAGGAGACGAGAAATATATGAAGAATTGGGAAGGCCCCAGCCCCGAACAATGGCGCCTCAAGGAGGACTGGATATATTGAGAATAACCCCGCCGCCCCGGCAGATGATGCCTACAAGGCCGATGCCGCCGCCAAGGCCGGTGCCACCAAGGAGATCGGGAGCCTTTGAATTGCCCTCCACGTCATCGCAGAGGAGCCGGTAGTGTGGGACACGCCCGAAAGGCAGGCAGTAACGGAGGAAGAATTTCTGGAGGTTGGGGTGAGCACGAGGGAGTTAGATGAGTTGTTTGAAAACTACAGACACTTAACCCCCCTCTAATAGGGAACTTTGGAGTGGGGAGGGGTGGAGGTGTCATAATATTATTATTTTTGGTGTTTATTTTTTTTGTCGTGAAATTATTTTATATATTTTGTTAGCGCGGATTAATATTATAATATATGCGGGATTATTTGTTTTAAGAAAGAGAAGAGTCATGGTGAGTCGAGGATATTTTTTTTAGTTAAAAAATATAATTGGTAATTTTTTTAAATTACTTAATTTTTGGAATTATTTTTAATTTTTCTGAAATTGTAATTTTAAATTTTGATTTTTTATAATTTTGTTAAAAATATAATTTTTGTTTAAGAAAAAAATAAATAGAGTAATTAAAGTTTCGAATAAATTTATTCCGGAAAGGGACAGTTCAATTCGTTAAGAAGGTCATTAAGTAACGGCACAACGTAATAATTTTATCATATGTTAAAAATATAGCCAATATAGAAGTTGTATAAAATGCCTTTTAAATATTTATTAAGATATTTTATTTTTACTGTAGTATTTTATATTCAAATATAAATTTTTAAAAGATTGTATTGAAATGGTATTACAATTAAACAATTTCAATATATCTAAATAATTGTAAGAAAAAATATATCGTCTATAGTTTTCTCATCAATATATATTATGCTACATGCTACTATCTAAATTATATTACTGTTAACATCAAACTCTTTATATTATGTTTTAATTATATTTTATTATTATTTATCAATTTATTTCAATATTTAAACATGTATATTATTATTAATCAATTTATATTTTATGTATTTATGTTATTAAGCATAATTATAATTATATCAATTATTGAAATTTTATCGTATGAGTATTAGGTTTATTAGTTAAAAAAAGTCGCATTTATTTTTATATGAGAAGATCTTACATGAATGTTATCCCAATATCATTGTGTTATCCCAAAAAAAATTCAACGTTCCTTGTTATCAATAAAAATAATGTCATATGGCTGAATATATTTTAAATCCACCACCGAGATGGATAAATTGCCCAAGAAAAGGGCAAATTATAGCAGGTAACAGTCCAACATTTAAATATTTTAATTAAATATGTTCATATTTTTAGACAAGTTTTTACCATTTAAAACTCCACTTGATAAATCATATAATAATGTTATTCCAGAAATCAATCGTTTCCCCCCAGATATGGTTTTTAGGCCACTAAAATCATTAAATGTTAGAATTTATTATTTATACTATGCTTATATATTACTCCTAATAGAGAAAAATTGGACTATGGGTTGATTTAACAAATACAAATCGTTTTTATAATAGTACTGTAATTCAAAACCATGATGCCGAATATGTTAAAATACCTTGTAGAGGGTAAATCAATAATTTATGTTAAATTCAATATTGTATTAATAAAGCCATGGGCAAGCTCCATCACAAGAGCAGACAGATCAATTTGTAGATAAATGCACTCGATTTATAGATAAAAATCCAAATGATCTCATTGGTATACTTAAAATGTATAATTTATTTATATTATAAAAAAATAGCTATTCATTGTACCCATGGTTACAATAGAACTGGTTTTTTAATATGTTCTTATCTTATTGATCACTTGGCATGGAGGTAATATTATATTTTAATATAACTTATCGTATAATAAAATTATCTAATTTACAGCCCAATTGCTGCCATTCAAGCATTTAATGAAGTATTTTTTATATATTATTTATTTAAATCTTATATTATGTTATTTTGAATTTGCAAATTCACTTTTTATATCCTATTAGATTGAATTTCAAAAATACCATATAAACTTTGATAATTTATATATTTTAATTTATTAAAATTGTCTGGGTGAAAAATATCTTTATTATATTAGGCTATTTAAAATTTAAATAAAACTTATTTTTAATATTTATAACATGTATCCTCTTTACTGAATAATAAACTGTTATTAATATATTATGCATATCAGTAAATATTCAGATAAAGTAACCCATGACTGGAAAAAAAAAATATAGTTAATACATTTAATTTTTTGGAGGAGTGAAAATGTATAGAAAAATTTTATTTTTATAAGATTAAAAGCAAACATGATACCTTATAATTAGTGATCCTAACAAATATTTAAATTGGTCCAACCTATGTATGTTTTGCAGAGTTGTTAAAAGATACTTTTTAAATGGATCTAGATACAGATACATCGTCTAAAATAATATCTAGATATCGATATTTTAATCAAAAATCTATCCAGATACAGATATCACATTTTTTCTGATGTTTTGATTAGGTTTCGACCAAAATAACAGTTTATGGTTTAGATTCTGTAAAAAATCATAATACTAGTGTTGTTTGAACCTTAAAAAAATTTACTTACAAACTTGTTAGAAATATGTAATGACACCTTTTTAAATTTTTTTATCACTAATCCCTAAAAAATATATTAATTTTAAATAATTTTAATATCATCAAGATTTTCTTTGTCCAATTATATCTATAAAGAGAAAAAATGAATTCTATGGGTGAGAATAGTGATCTACATTGGGCCTAATTTTTCAAGCCTAACCCAAAATTTAAAAAAAATTTACTAGCCCGGTCCAACCCAAATTTATTTAAATATATAAATTCATTTTATAATTACTCAAAATAAAAGATATATGTTATATAAAATTGTTAAATTTAAATATATTTAAAAAAATTTCAAAGGCCCAACACCTGACCCAGCCCAAATTTTTTAAAAAAATATTAGGCCCGATTCAGCCCAAACCCGATTTCACTTCTATATGCTAGCTTGGGTAGCTGGCACCATCAAATAACTACAAAATTATCTAAAAATAGTTATACATATCAATCAAAATTTATTATTAATAACTATAAAAGAGTTTCAATGGGTTCAAACATATTCATGAACATTGTTCAAGTCCAGGAGATTTAATTTTTAAAAGTTCAGTTTTGGTTCTTAAGTAATAATGGTTAATACCTGCTTAATGGCTCATGTAAGGTTTGGTCCTCAGATTGCCTCAGAACCTATAAATGCTACCACCATATATTAAACTTCTTGTGATAGTGACCATTTTACTTTGGTCTGTTGGATGTTATATTATTATTTGATATTATTCCTCTCTGTATCGACCACCATGCACACACATTTCTTTAGATATCCACATATAACAAAATTAGTTGTTAAATCCAGAATAAAACAATGAAGAAACAATTTAAGAAAAATATTTTTTCATTTATATTATAATGAACACTGATGGAAAAATATGAGAAGATGCTGAATGAGCTGCATATTGGCATACAATACTAAACCCAAAAATCGGATATGGTGGTGTATATGCAAAAGAGAAATTTTGGATGGTTATGTACAACCCATTAGATGTGTCTTTGAGGGTTCATGGCGGTCATAAACTCAAGGCCGTTTCCCATAGAAGGTGGGCTACATCGAGGGTCAGCGTTATGTCCCTTTCTCTTCATATTTATTCTTGATACTATAACTGAGGATTTGCAGAAGCCAGCTTCATGGTCAATGCTGTTTGCAGATGACATCGTGATATATGAGGAGACCAAAGTGATGGCAACACAGCTGGCCAGTGCTTGGGTATTTATGTTGGCCCAATATGACCTTCGCATCAATTTGTCTAAGACAAATCCGACAAATGTTGCAGGTTGATGTTAAGTATGCAAGTTGCTCAACACCCAAAAAGTTGAAAATTTTAGCTATCTTGAGCACAATGGATCAAGACAGAGGTTGTCTTGACGAGGTCAACGTTAAGATACAGAAGATTTGGATGAAATGGAGTAGCATAAGGCGCCTTGTAACAGGTTGATGCTACTGTGGCTTAAAGGTAAGGCCTATCGAACTATCGTCAGACCATCTTGTTGTATGCATGAACAATGCGAGCTGCTGTGAAAAAGATGTTGGATATAACAAACTTTATTATCAGATGCCGAATTGGTTACACCAAGCTGGATTATATGACTAATGATAGCTTAAGAAAGAAGATGGGCGCAGTCCCCTTGTCAGAAAAAATAAAGGAGAGTAGACTGTGGTATGGACATGAATCAAGGACTGACTTAACTAACGTGAATCGGCAAGTTCTCGATCTTGAAGTTACAGACCAACGAACTAGAGGCAGACCACGACTAACTTGGCGTTCTCAAATTCGCAAGGACACGTTGGATAAAAGCTGACCCATATGAAATGATAGGACGCGTTTTAAAGACCCCAACTAGTTTTGGGATTAACATGATAATCAAGAATAAGAATGAGAAAACTGTAAACAATCTTAAAATGAACTAAATTTAAAAGAAATTATCATTTTGAAAAAAATAGTAACCATCTTGTTACCTTTAAATATTTTTATAAATATGAATCAAAAGAAACAACAAATACTTGATATTTACTTCAAAAAATTTGACATATAATATTATTCTATATTATCTTTATATTTCATTTTTAGAATTCATAAACATCTATCCATGAAACGAAAATATTAATTTTTTAAATTACTTTTAAATATTTTTATCATTCATAAAATAATCCATTTACTTGCTGAAAAACATGATCATTTCAGTTTCTTTGACCCATCATTGCCTAGATGTGCAGGATCTAAATTACAAACAATACCTCTCATCCATGAAAGAAAATATTAATGTTTTAATTTACTTTTAAATATTTTTATCATTCATAAAATAATCCATTTACTTGCTGACAAACGTAAAAATCATTTCAGTCTCTTTGGCCCATCATTGCCTAGATATGCAAGATCCAAATTACAAACAATACTTCTCATAGTTTTCTTGCACATTACACATACCCTCAAACTTGTAACAAGCAATTGTAACACTAATTTAACAATTTAATCTTATATACATAGTTTTGCTAAGAAATTTTTATTTTCATAATAAAAATTATTCTTATATTAAAAATTTTAAAAAAAATTAAATAAAATAATGTCAACAATTTTTAACATTTGTACAAAACTAATTAAAGTGACAAAGGCCAATCTTTTATACAAACATAGTTACAAAGGCAACATGTCCTTCCTCTCAAAAATCTCCACCAATGAAATTATAACAATGCCCAAACCCTTATTAAATATTATTGAGCCTCATCCTCCCCCTAATTAAGACAGATTTTCTTAAAAGATTTTTTAATGGAAAAAAGGACCCACTTTAACACATCTATAATATAAATCTAGAAATCTAATTTCAAATTTTGTTACAAAACTTATCACAAAAGTCAATGATATTTTAAATTGCTTAAAATCATGGGAAGACTTATTAACCTTCTCTCATAAATGTCTTAAACATCCCACTAACAAAGAGACCCAATTACATCAACAAATAAAATCAAACATAGAACATGAACAATAGGAGAACTTGCTCATATTGCTTTAGAATTATTAACATAAAAAATAACAATTTAATAACCATCCATGGACCACTCACTTCAAGAAGCCCAGGTACCTCCAGCCTCCCTGCTTGAACCTTCATCACTTAGCATCTCACCAGATATTCCACCACCACCTTTAATCTCAACCCCAAATGACTTTCAATTATTTAATCCACCAAATGAAAATCCAACACAGGAAAAGATCTTTATAAAAAATTATCCAATTCCTGATTTGGAATACCCAAAATTTTTAATAAGCTATTTTAGCCCTACCATATCACGAATCTCAAAAGCAGCCCTTAAATTAATTTATCCTTTTTATATCAAAATCATTAATAATATTTTACAAAATCCAGAAGATCTAAATTGGATAAAATTAATATATTTCTCAACATTAATATTATCAAATCCACCAAAAGATAATCCAGCCCCACTATGCCAAACCATGAAAGAAAGAATTGAAAACTTTGATCTTAATTTTAAAAAAATTAACACCAAATATCAACGATCCTGCTAAAAAGACTTTAAGTAACCCCTCACACAAACTAATATATAATAAGATTAATAATTCCAATCTAAAAGGAGCTCTTGCTAACGCAAACACTTTGGCAGCCGATAATATCACTGCAAGAAATCAATTTTTAGAAAAACATCTGAGCCCCAAATACACTCCTCAAATACTGCCTATAATAAATTCAAAGATAAATATCACTCCCGGAGAAACCTTAACCGCTATTAAATCTTTTCCAAATGATTCTGCTCCAGGACTGGATTACCTTCGACCCTCATTTATTATTGACCTCTTGGGTTTAGGCAATTCCGAATTTCTACTTAATTCTTTAACGAAAATTTTTAATCTTATTATCAACGGGAAATTACCACATTAACTAGCACCAATAATCTTTGGTGCTCGACTAATTGCGCTTGAAAAAAATGAAAATCAAGTCGCCCAATAGCTATTGGAATTTTCTACCGACGAACCATTTCAAAAATTATTTGTAATCGACTCAAATCTACAATAACCTTAAGCTTAGCTCCTTACCAAGTGGGATTTGGACTAAAAGGAGGCTGTGAAGCCGCAATTCATTGCAGTCGACTAGTGTTGCGTAATCGGCTAAAAACTACGCCTAAGCCTAATTAGGCTAAGCCTAAAAATCGTCTAGCTAACTCGGCTAAAATTAAATTAGTCGAAATTCTACATCGATGCTTAGCATTAATTATTATTTATTTATAGTAAAATAATTTATTTTATTTATATTTAATGTAAATATTTTATTATTATCAACAAATAAACATGATATGATTTAATA